GAAGAGATACAATGTGTGTTAGAAAGACAAGTAGGTACTGGGTCTCCAAGTTAAATCTAGTTTTACGAATAGCCTGTACCCAAGGCTCTTTATTTATGATACTGAAAAGCACACAGTTTGGAGAACTGTAATAACTTTAACTGCAGTTGTAAAGGATGGTAATACGTAGCATGATTTGCCTGCCATTATGTTATCTGTACTGTATAAATACGAAATTTCAGAATCAGATGTTTTATGGGGAGTCATTACAATTCTGAAAGTGTGACTGAACTTTCCCTAAATATATCAAAAATGGGATCACTGTGAGTGTACATAATTGAAGACAAAGTTTATGACGCAGTAGATGTCTACAAATATCAACAGAAATTTAAAAGAACTGTGTCAAAATTTGTATTTTGTATATTATGCTCAGAAAGTAGCTCTACTGTATATGTCTGCTTTTCATGTGCTGGGTGGCTCTGAGCCCATTTGCAAATGGATAAAATTGGAAGGTCTATGGGGTTTGAGACTGATGGGGTCGCCATGCGCAGCAATGCAGGTTGTGCACTGAACAACTAAAGGGGGGCCCTTTTTGATTGAGAATGATGTGGGAGGCACCTGCTGGAGCTGCGTAGTGAACAACCCACACAACTGTGAGGAGTGAGCCATCACCCTGAGGGAGAAGTAGAGTCTGCCTGTGCACCCTGGAAGAACACAGCCAAGAATGAAAACAAATTTCAAATCTTGGAAAGAATTTCCTACCCACCGGAACCATCTCCAGTTCATTCTTTCTTTCTGTCACTTATTTAACTCACAAGTTGTAAATTTCCCCCACGGAACTCTCACAGGGGCTGACAGGAGATTCCTGCATCCAGTGAGCGAACACGGCTCCTCCGTCTGCTGCCACTCCAGGATCTGGGAGGTCAGCAGCAAGCCAGAAAATGTTTCTTGTGCTTCCTTGCTCCTGGGCACATCTTTCTTTGACTCCAAGGTTTGTGGGTTGGAGCCCTGGCTGTCTCCTGATCAGCAACCAGGAGGGTTATGTTTCTGGCCAAGCTTTGGATTTACATTTGAGAAAAGGCTCCTCCACCTCCTCCCTATCATAAGTGAAGGGTTCCTAACTCCAACCAGCAGAACATTAAATGGTTTCTTGACAGCTGCGCGTGCTAATAACCTAGAACAATTCAACAAAATGTGCTCTTGTTTTAGGCCCAGCAAAAACAATTCACTTCCAACAAATAACTTAGAACTGAGAAAAGAAAAAATTTCAAAAATAAAACAGAAATGAATAAGCAATGAATTGACATCTTTTGCTTGAAAAAATGTCCAATTAGATAGGGCGAGGCTCTGGGGCTCCCAACCTTCATGGAACAAAGAATATCTCTTTGGGAGTCCCCCAGTCTGGAGCTGGGTTAACTTAGCATTGGGGATTTCTTCACGGATTCTTTCCTGCCTAACTAGTGTTTAATACCATCACACCCCACAAATAATTGCAAGGATTCAAGTCTTTTTAGGAGAAAAGAAGCTCAGATAATTTAGACTTTAGAAAACAAGACCTTGGCCAGGTGCGGTGGCTCACGCCTGTAATCCCAGCACTTTGGGAGGCTGAGGCAGGTGGATCACCAGGTCAAGAGATCGAGATCATCCTGGTCAACATGGTGAAACCTCATCTCTACTAAAAATACAAAAAATTAGCTGGGCATGGTGGTACGTGCCTGTAATCCCAGCTACTCAGGAGGCTGAGGCAGGAGAATTGCCTGAACCCAGGAGGCGGAGGTTGCGGTGAGCCGAGATCGCGCCATTGCCCTCCAGCCTGGGTAACAAGAGCGAAACTCCGTCTCAAAAAAAAAAAAATAAAAAAAAGAGAGAAAACACCTAAGAGAAAAACGTGATGGAATTAAGACTATTTCACCCAGAGAAGAGAAAGTCTGTGTGATGGTTCACTAATTCTGGCAAGTTTATTAAGTTATTTTACATAGGATACTGACCACCTAGTCTCCCTTTTCTGAGCAGAGAGAGGAAATGATTTTCAACTGCATCGAGAAGGACATAGGTTGGAAAATAAGGAAGAATTTCCAGATGATTAAGGTTATTAAATGCTGATTGCAGAGAGAGGTTATAGCTTCACCTTTTTGGAAATAATTCAAGGGATGACAAACACTCGTCCATCCAGGCTGTTTTAGGAACAGTCTGAGCGGGAAGTAGGAAAAGTGAAATTATCTCTTTGTCGTGCCTTCCAGCTCTATTTGCTGTGCTAAAAGTGCCTCTTGCAGGAGTTTACATAGTTTATAGATTTCCAAACATTCTTACTGTCTATCTTCTAGGCACTCTTCTTAGGGCCAGAAAGGGGGAGACATAAAGGTGTAAACTTCCCAAGCAAAGATCTAGTTCTGGCCTGGCCTGTTGAAGGTGAGTAACGGGACCTGCAACACATCACGGGCTGTCTAAGCCCCAGGTTCTGATCCTGAGCTCACCACAGGCTCTGGCGGTGATTTTTATTCCTCCAGTCTTTTTTTCCCTTTTATCGGGATATGAAAGCTGCTTCCCTAACTACAGGGAAGAGCGCATGGCTCAGGTTGGACAAGTCGTAACACCTTGTTCCTCTGTCTACCATGATTGGTCCAGAAGTGGCCACGTAACTCAAGGTGCCAAGAAGAGCTCTTTCCCCAGAGTGCTGTACCTGAAAGTGTTTGCTCTTTCTGGAGGCAAGTCAGCCAGGATGGGAGTCCATGGCTGCCTGAAGCCACGGCCCCATTACCTGGAGACAATCGTGAGCCTATGAACCCAAGAACCTGTGAGAGGCTGGAAGGATAAATGCGCAAAAAGAACTCTCAGGCCTTCAGGTCGGCCCTCCAGCCAGCCCTGCCTTGCCAACCCTGCATATCCTTCAGTTTTATGAGTAGGTAGAATACTGCATTCTTTTTTTTCCCCTTAAGCTAGTATGAGTTGGGTTTCTGCCATTTGCAACCAAAGGTCCTGGTTAATATGGGATAGGAATGAGGCCCTACGGATGCAGGTGCTAGGAAGAACCAAGGCCCAGGAATACAGAGCTAAGCTGTTCTGCATTAGAAAATGATGGCAATATCTGCTTATGCCTCAGGGCAAGAGAGAAGAGAAAGGGGGCAGGAAGAGGAGGGAGAGGAGCTTGGAAGATGGCAGAAGGCAGGGTACTGCTGTGCGTGAACCAGCAGAGGGGCCACGAGGGCTCTGAACATCAACAGCACAGAACCCACGATTTTAGAATGCTCACTGCACACCGTGCATGCGACTATTTCCCATGACCTGTCATCTTTCAGAAAAGCTCTGCTCCACGGAACCAGCTTGAAATCACAGTAGTTGGAAGGTAGATGAAGAATCAAGGAAAAGGGCCCAGGGTCACAGTTGTCCTCTCTGTACAGTAGAGATACGGAACAACAAGAGGCACAGAGTGTACAACTTTGAGGCAGGACCCACTCCAGGCACCACAGAAATCAAAACCCCTTCCTTCGAGTCCTGCAAATGGCATGGCTTACCTACTTGTGAGGAAGTCAGACTCAAAGGGAGAGTTTTGATTTCCATGGGGCCTGGAATGGGTACCTGAGTCACTGTATGGTAGATGCCGTGAGACCTGAAGCTCTCAGAAGACGTATGAATTACAAAGTAATAAGTCTCATGATCAGACAAGACATTGATATGTGGACCAGATCACCTCTTCGGGTGTTAGGGTTACATCTACTCTCAGAAGGGTCTGTGTAGGCAAGTAGATGACACGCTTTCCTTGATGAAATACTGCTGCAGAGTGATCCAGGATCGAGATATGAGAATCCAGTAACAATGCTTAAGTCAGGCCTTTCCCATTTTGCATGGGTGTTTTGTACCCAGTGGATGTGCAGCCACAGGGAAAGGCTTTCCCCCAGCCTCTCCGGGAACTGATCAGGAGTCAGGGATCCAACAGGGATGGTGAACAGGACAGCATCAGTAACGCAGACACAATTATTGCACATAAGTTGTGTGATGGAAGGAAGTCGCTTCCAGAAGGGAATTGATCTGGACTAAAATTACTCATAGCACCGTTTTAAGGAAGAAGCTACCTTTTTAACATGCCAAGCTTATTCTGAAACTCCTTTACCATTACATTTTAACAAAAGAGATTCAATCTGGGAGAAGCTAAACTTCCATTAAGTCTTCCAAACACTCCTGATCCATATTTACTAATAATGATGATTTCCAAAGCTCATTTCTGCAATCAAGAGCAGGCGGCACAGCAGGCAAGACGCTGTGCATGGAGCAATCTCCATGAATAATTGCCTGTCCGCATGGCTTCTTAAAGAGAAACAGCAAGCTTATCAGATGATGCTTGGGTTTGTTTAACCTGAACACAGAAAGCAGAAAACTAGGCTCGAGAAAACATGCTTTTAGACTTTCAAGTTGACATGAAACTTGGGAGCCTTAACCTCTACAGAGGAGTTTAAATGGATCAGTGGACACCCTAAAACTCTGCATCAGACATTTTGTATGTCTTTTCTATGCGCTTTCTTTCTTCTTTTTTTTTTGAGACGGAGTTTCGCTCTTGTTACCCAGGCTGGAGTGCAATGGCGCAATCTCGGCTCACCGCAACCTCCGCCCCCTGGGTTCAGGCAATTCTCCTGCCTCAGCCTCCTGAGTAGCTGGGATTACAGGCACGTACCACCATGCCCAGCTAATTTTTTTTTTTTGTAATTTTTAGTAGAGACGGGGTTTCACCATGTTGACCAGGATGGTCTCGATCTGTTGACCTCGTGATCCACCCGCCTCGGCCTCCCAAAGTGCTGGGATTACAGGCTTGAGGCACCGCGCCCGGCCGCGCTTTCTTTCTAGGAAGAGGACGCACAGAGGGAATATGACCCCCTGAATATTTACCGCTAAATACATGTTCTTTCACTAGCACTGTGCGATAGAACTTTCTGGAATGATGAAAATACTTTATATTTGCATTGTTTAAAATGGTAGCCATTAGCTAAACGTGGCTATTGAGCTTATAAAGGTGACCAGTGCAGCTGATGAACCAAATTTTTCATTTTAATTAATTTACATTTTAAAAGGCAAAACTATAAGGATAAAGAGTAGATGAGTGGCTGCCAGGGGTTGGGAGTTGACAGAAGGCTGACTACAAAGGAATGGGGGAATATTTTGCTGGGATGGAACTTTTCTGCATCTCTGTTACGGTGCCAGGGACCTGACTCCACGCATGTGTCAGAGTCAGTGGAAATGTACACCAAGAAGAGTGAATATTCTAATCTGAAAATTGAACATTTAAAATTTTTTTTCAGACAGGTTCTCACTATGCTGGCCAGGCTGGTCTTGAATTTCTGAGCTCAAGCAGTACTCCCACCTCAGCCTCCCAAGTAGCTAGGATTACACGCATGTGCCACCATGCCTGGCTGAAAGATACATTTTAAAAGATGTAGTTGGCTACATGTGGTTAGTGGCTTCTGGATGTGCCGCTGAGGACCATCACTTTAAAAGACTTACACGTATATGCACCAGCAGTGATTTAACTGGACTTTCCCGACTATCAGATTCATTAGGTTAGAAACTGTTCCCCAAACCATCACCGTAATCAAATGCATTCCTAACTCACTAATGAGTGCAACACACTAAGTGGAGGACGTTGACTCTCTACCCATTCCCTGCATCCCTACTAAGTCCAGCGGTCCCTGGCCACTGCAAAATCAGGCACAGCAATCTCATGAGAAGTCTAGTGCCAGCATCCCAAGTTCCAAATTCCAATCTTGGGACCAATGCCTTTGCACTGTCCAGAGACTCCTCCAGGTAGCCGGCCAGGCCAGGAGGCCTGAGTGTGCAAGGGGGATCCCCACTCAGAAGCAACCCAGCCTCAGAGGCTCATTAACCCTTTCAAACACAAGTCCAAGCCTTTTCCTTATGACCCTTTATTAGTTTCCTAGGGCTTCTTAAAGTTTTGCAAACTGGGTGGCTTCAAAGAACAAAAATTGGTTCTCTCATGGTTCTGGAGGTCAGAAGTCTGAAAGCAAGAGGCCAGCAGGTTGGTTCCTTCTTGGGGACTCAGAGGGAGAATCTGTTCTATACCATCCTTCTAGCTTCTGCTGGTTGCTGGCAGTCCTTGGCACTCCTTGGCTTGTGGTCGCATCCCTTCTACCTCTGCCTTTGTCTTCACGTGGCCTTCTCCTCTCTGTGTCTCTCTGAGTCTCTGTTTCCAAGTTTCCCTCTTCTTATTAGAACACCAGTCATTGGGTCGCTGGATTAGGGGAGGGGTCCCCAACCCAGTATCGGTCTGTGGCCTGTTAGAAACCAGGCCACACAGCAGGTGAGTGGTGGGCAAGTGAGCAAAACCTCATCCGTATTTATAGCCACTCTCTATCTCTCGCATTACTACCTGAGCTCTGCCTTGTGTCAGATCAACAGCAGCATTAGATTCTCATAGGAGCTCGACGCCTATTGCAAACTGTGTGTGTGAGGGATCTAGGTGCACGCTCCTTATGAGAATCTAATGCCTGATGATCTGCCACCGTCTCCCATCACCCCAGATGGGATCATCTAGTTGCAGGAACACAAGCTCAGGGCTCCCACTGATTCTACATTATGGTGGGTTGTAGAATTACTTCATTATGTATTACAATGTGATAATAACAGAAATAAAGTGCACGATCAATGCAATGCACTTGACTCATCCCAAAACCACCCCCCTCGTCCCCATTTCATGGAAAGATTATCTTCCAAGACACTGGTCCCTGGTGCCGAAAAGCTGGAGACCAATGAGTTAAGGCCCATCCTAACCCAGTGTGACCTCATCTTAATGAGATCTGCAAAGGCCCTATTTCTAAAATAAGGTCATATCGACCAGTACCGGGATTGTAACTTGAACATATCTCTTTGGGGGCCACAATTCAATCCACAAGAGACTCCAACCATCATAGGGAGAGAATCCTTTCCCCTAGGGTGTAGCAAACAAGACCAGGTGTGGCTTCATGTCTGACAACCTTTAATGTCACTTGTGTGTGTGTGCGTGTATGTGTGTGTATGTATGTTTTCCTTTGCAGTATTTTGTTGTTGTTGTTTATTGTTTTGTTTTTTGTTTTTCTGAGATGGAGTTTCGCTCTTGTTGCCCAGGCTGGAGTGTAATGGCGCCATCTTGGCTCACCACAACCTCTGCCTTCCGGGTTCAAGCACTTCTCCTGCCTCAGCCACTGAGTAGCTGGGATTACAGGCATGAGCCACCATGCCCAGATAATTTTGCATCTTTAGTAGACGGGGTTTCTCCATGTTGGTCAGGCTGGTCTCAAACTCCTGACCTCAGGTGAATCTACCTGCCTCGGCCTCCCAAAGATCTGGGATTGAGGCATGAGCCACAGCACCCAGCTCCTTTGCAGCGTTTTTACCAATGTGAGTGTCCTATCATAGCAACAGGACTGGGATGTGGCCAGTGTCCACCTTCACTGAGTCCTTACCTTTCAGGAGGGACAAGGGTGTGGTGTCTGTCATATCTGTGTCCCTTGAGTTTGTTGGCAGAACACTGAGCATGTGGAAACATGTGACACAACGGAGGAAGAGAAACTGGATTTGATTCTCATTACAGGTTATATTCAAGGAGTAACTTAGGTTTTTGAGTCTTAATGTCCTCATTAGTCATGTGTAAATGTCATGCCTCCTTCTCTGGGTTGTTTTGCTCATTAAATAACCTACATATGGAGCTCTGAGTAGTGAATTGACCAATGTTACTTTCTGAATCCATTCCTTCCTGACTTTTTACTCTTTCCACACACAAAGGGGACTCATAATAAAAAAATCATTTCTATTTAATATAAAAATGCAGACAAGTAAGAAGCTGTAATTCCCTCACCCAAAGATAATTATTATTTAAATTTAGGCATGTTTCCTTAGTCTTTTTAAACGTACATATTTACACACACTATTTCTGCAAAATTGCTTTCATTCTGTACATATTTGTTTTGTAGCCACATTCCCTTAACAAGATCGTACATTTTCATATTTAATTAAATGGTCTTCTAAAGCATGGTTTATATTGGCTGCAGTGTGATTCATCACGCATATAACACAACTTCTTCAATGAGAAGCCTCTCGTCTGCCGTTTTGCCTGTTCCCAATTTTTCACGATCTTAAACAATGTGGTAAGGCACATTTTCACAGATACAACCTTGTGCATCTCCCTGATTATTCCTTTCGAAAAAATTACAGGAAGTAGAATTGTTCAACTCCATTTTTTGTTTTGTTTTTTTGAGACAGAGTCTCACTCTGTCGCCCAGGCTGGAGTGCAATGGCGCAATCTCAGCTCACTTCAACCTCTGCCTCCTGGGTTCAAGTGATTCTCCTGCCTCAGCCTCCCCTGAGCAGCTGGGACTACAGGTACCCACCACCAAACCCAGTTGATTTTTGTATTTTTACTAGAGATGGGGTTTCACCATGTTGGCCAGGCTGGTCTCGAACTCCTGACCTTGTGATCCGCCTGCCTTGGCCTCCTTATGTGCTGGGAATACAGGCGTGAGCCACCATGTCTGGCCTTAACTCAGTTTTTTTGAACTGAGCTTTTTACAACTTGGCTTTCTCTTCTTCCCTCCTCCTCTTCATCTCTACTGAAAACCTTCCCCGTTTATTTCACAGAAGGCACCAAAGCCATCAGAAGGGGATTTTCTTATCTCTTTTGACCGACTAACCCCACAACCTACCTTCCTCTGGACCCCACACATTGTTCGGCCTCCTGCCTTGCACCAGGGCAACCCTTCCACCTGGGTCCAGGTCCCCACTCTCTTGCCTCCTGCAGGAGGCGGCTCTTCCAGTTCTACCCTTCCTCCCCTGCATCTTCAGTGTTTTTTGCTCTGCTGGATCTGGATGGTCCCCAGCACCACGCAAATGTGCCATTCATCTCCCAGATTCCTTCCCTGGTGCTGCCACAGCAAATCACCACACACCTAGAGGCTTCAAACAGCATAAACAACATTCATTACCTTACAGTTCTGGAGGTCAGAGGTCCAAAATGGGTTTTACTGGGTAGAATCCAGGCAGGGCAGGGCTGCACGCCTCCTGGAGGCTCCAGGAAGAAGCTGTCTCCCAGTCACTTGCACCTCCACAGGCTGCCCACATTGCCATCACCTCTTCACAGCCGCTGGTTCATGACCACATCTCAAAGTCAACAGTGGATCACATTCTAGTCTCTCTCCAACTCTGACTTTTCTGCCTCTCTTGTTAAGGTTCTTGAAATTACCTTGGGCTCACCTGGATTATCCAGTACACATCCCCATCACAAGATCCTGAATTTCATCCCATGGGCAATGACCTTTTTTGCCATGTAAGCTAACAGACAGGCCCTGGGGGTTTGGATGTGAACATTTTTGGAGGGCCAGTATCCTGCCGATCAATCCCGTGTCCTTTCTCTCTGTGCCCACACTGGTGACGGACTTTTATGCCACCAGAGTCCTGCACTTGCTGAGGTCACAGTGACCTCCATGGTGCCACACTCAGCAGGCAAGCCTTGAACCTGCTGTGATCCAACATCTGCTACACTGGATCAGTTGGTCATTATCTTCATGAAACTCTTCAGCATTGGGGATGCCAGAATTCTCTGGTTTCCCCTTTACTCACGGCTGTTCCTTCTCAGTCCCTCTTACTCAACCCTTCCCTGCCTCTTGACCATTAAACAAATATCCCAGGACATACTTCATCTGCATGACTCGCTGGATGACCTCATCTGGTTCTAAGACATCACATATTTACTGAGGACACTCAAATCCTTATTCCCAGTCTCAACCTCTCCTCTGAGCTTCCAGACTCATTGGCACAATTGCCCATTTGACATCTGCCCTTGGACTCTACTAGGCCTCTCTGATTTGATATATCCAATGCTGAATCTAAGGTTCCTCTACCTCCACCTGCTCAGCGTGCTATTCACACCTCTGTTAAGGGTGCAGCACACCCAGATGCTCAGGCAAAAAGTACAAATTCATCTTGACTCTGCTCTTTCTCTCTAAACTAAGCCAGCTCCATTAGCAGGTCTTGAAGGTACATCCCTAGCCTGACGTCTTCCATTGCTGCGGTTCTCCTCCCCCTGTCCCCTCTTTCCTGGGCTACTGGAGGCACCTCCAGGTTAGCTGGATTACCAGTCTCCCGGCTTCCAGTCCTGCTCCACAGTCTTTTTCCCATATAGAAGCTGGAATAATCTTTAACTTTTAAAATCATATCATGTCATGCCTGTGCTCAAAACCCCCCAACGGGAGCATGTGTGAAGTAGGGACAGTGGCTCATGGGTTTCAGGCAGGGATTAAAGGACTTTATGAATGAACAATGACTATATAGAGGATTCGGTGCAGTGTTAGTCCTGGCGGGGCACTGGGAGTGTTGCAGGAAGGAAGCTGGAAACTAGGTGGTGCCAGCTAAAGACTAAAATAAAGACTTTGGAGGCTCCCAGCAATGGGCCAGGCAGTGACTCCGATCCCTGGCTGCGCATTAGAAATAGCCCACGATGGTTCTGACAATACTGATGGCCTGGGACCTCCCCAGATTCTTTAAGTCAGAATCTATTTCTGGGTATCGGTACAGATGCTGCACACCTATAATCCCAGCTACTCACGAGGCTGCGGCAGGAAGACAGCTTGAGCCCAGGAGTTCAAGGCTGTTGTGTGCTACGACCATGCCTGTGAACAGCCACTGCACTCCAGCCTGGGCAACACAGTGAGACCCTGCCTCAACAAGCAAAGCCAAAACCAACTCTTCACATGATCGTATAACAAAAACCGAGAGGATGTGGATGAGGGGAGTAGAAGGAAAAGATGGAGATGGTGGATGTGGAAAGACGAAGCAGCTGAGGGGCCCTGGTGTCAGAAGTCATTTATGTGGACACTGAGGTCTCCGTGAAGGTGCAGGGCAGAGAAATCCAGTTCTAATTACAGCCTCCTTCTTGACCTGAATTCCTAGGCATTTTTGTAGAGATAAGGTGGGCAGGTTGTGGAGGCAGCTGAGAGTATGGTCTTACCAGGGGCACATGGGCCTCCTAGGGTCTCCCTCAAATTCTTCTGTGGACAGTCCAGCGGCCAGCAGTGGCGTGATCTAAACTGGATCATCTGAGCTCTGGAGCCTTTTTTATGTCTGTGTTAGACATAATAATGGCCCCTCCCCACCCAATGGTGTCCACATCTAAACCTCACATATGGTGAATGTGTTATGTGGCAAGGGGGAATTGCAGTTGTAAATTACATGAAGGTGACTCAGATAGTTTGGATGTTTATCCCTTCCAAATTGCATTAAAATGTGATCACTAGTGTTGAAGATGGGCCCAGTGGGAGGTGTTTGGGTCATGGGGACAGATCCCTCATAAATGGCTTGGTGCTGCCCTTGCAGTAATGAGTGAGTTCTTGCTCCACTAGTTCATGCAAGAGCTAGTTGTTTGAAAGAGCATCATGGCACCCCTCTCTCCCACTCTTGCTCCTTTCTCACCATGTGATATGCCTGCTCCTTCACCTTCCACTATGACTGGAAGCTTTCTGAGGTCCTCATCAGAAGCAGATGTAGGCACCATGCTCCTTACACAGGCTACAGAACTGTGAGCCAGATGAACCTCTCTTCTTTATAATAGACCCAGCCTCAGGTGTGTATTTATAGCAACACAAAATGGAATAACACAGTTGCTAATCAGCTGATTTTAAAAATAGGGAGATTTTCCTGGATTATCCAGGGGGGCCCAACGTAGTCACAAGTGCACTGAGTTAAATAGCGTTCCCCAGAATGCATGTCCACTGGAGCCTCAGAATATGACCCTATGCGGAAATAAAATCTTTGGAAACATAATTAGTTAAAATAAGATGAGGTAATGTGCATTCGGGTGGGCCCTAATCCAATGACTGCTGTCCTTATCAGAAGAGAAAACAAGAGACACAGACACACATAGACACATAGAGAGAACGTCAGGCAACAACAGAGGCAGAGATTGCATTTTGCTGCTACAAGCCAAGGATTGCTGAAAGCCACCAGAAGCTAGGAGTAGGCCACCCAAGCCTCTGGTAGGACCTCCCCTGCTGACACTTAGATTTCAGGATTCCAGCCTCCTGAGCTATGAGAATAAGCTTGTAAGCCACTCAGTTTGTGGTACTTTTTTTTTCTTCCTGAGACAGAGTCTTGCTCTTGTCACCCAGGCTGGAGTGCAGTGGTGTGATCTTGGCTTACTGCAACCTCTGCCTCCCAGGTTCATGTGATTCTCCTGCCTCAGCCTCCCTAATAGCTGGGATTACAGGCATGCGCCACCACACCTGGCTAATTTTTGAATTTTTAGTAGAGACATGGTTTTGCCATGTTGGCCAGACTGGTCTCAAACTCCTGACCTCCAGTGATCCACCAGCCTCGGCCTCCCAAAGTGCTGGGATTACAGGCATGAGCCCCCCGACCTGGCCAGTGTGTGGTGCTTTACTAGTGTGGCTGCCCTTAGAAACTGAAAGGGTCCCTATGTGTGGAAGAGGGCGGCAGAAGAGTCATGGGCAGGATGATGGAATGTGACAAAGACCCAGCTGAGCGCTCTAGCTTTGGAAATGGGAGGAGGGAGGACCCAAGAGTCAAGCAATGAAAGGAGCTTCTAGAAACAGAAAACTGGAAAAGTGAAGAAGGCAGATTCTCCCTGGAACGTCCAGAAGAAATGCAGTCTTGCCAAAACCTTGATTCTGGCCTACTGGGGCCCATTTTGGGGTTCTGTCTTACAAAACTGTCAGACGATACACTTGTGCTGTTTTAAGCCATTAATTTTGTAGTAGTTTGTAGTGACAGTAGTGGAAAACTATCACAATATCAAAAAGAAAATTTACCTTATTATATCAACTTTTAGGTTAACTTGGCTATTTTTTTAATATACAATACTGATTTTTAGAAAGCCAACCCTCTTATATTCTCTGTGTTCTAATCGTGTCCTATTATGCTTAGAGCTCCTCACCACAGAGCTTAGATAAATGCTGTGTTTTCTTAGTTCTTCCTGATTTCAGTTTTTACATTAATTTTATAATTCAGTAGCCCTTAACATTCATTTTTTTTTTTTTTTTTTTTTTTTTTTTGAGGCAGAGTCTCGTACTGCTGCCCAGGCTGCAGTGCAGTGCTGCAATCTTGGCTCACTGCAACTTCTGCCTCCCAGGTTCATACTACCCTCCTGCCTCAGCCTCCCAAGTAGCTGGTATTACGGGTGTATACCACCACGCCTGGCTAATTTTTCTGTATTTTTAGTTGAGGCATGGTTTTTAGTAGGGGCATAGTTTCACTATGTTGGCCAGACTGATCTCGAACTCCTGACCTCGTGCTCTGCCCACCTCGGCCTCCCAAAGTACTGGCCAATATTCACTTCTTGTTGCAGACAATTTGGGAATCTGATGAAAACCACAGATGCCCCACATACAGAACAGACACATACATGTCTAATCTGTCCACTAATATCTGTTGGGAGAGGACGATGCCAAATTGAAAGATGCCACGTTGTAAGCAGATGTCAATCAAAGTGGGGAGAAATGTTCTACCTGGGTGAGAAGAGGCGATTGCAGTCAGCTGTCATGGGGGTGGGACATTTGACAGGAACCTTGAAGGATGGAAGGACTCTGGTGGCCACAGGTGGGAAGGCGCTCCCCAAGAAGAGAAAGGGATGAGCCAAGGCGGGAAGGGTGTGCACATCCCACCTGCTGTGACTGGGCCAGGGTACCTGAAGGCAGGCTGTGGAGGTAAAGGGGGTCTCGCTCACCTGTTTCCGATCTGACCAGCCCAACACATGGATGACCAAGAAGACACTATTCTGCAAGAGTCAAGAGAGACGCTGGGCCCTGAGGAAGGTCAAGAACTTTGGAGAAAAGAGCTCAGGAAGATACGCATTGAGTGTTGATATTGGAGAGGTGGAGAGAACGGCCTGATGCAATGAAATGTTAGGGGAACAGGAACACCTTGCTCGGAATGCTTTCTTTCCCAATTTCCATACGGATACACACAGCGACCTGCAGGAGAAAAAAAGGGAAGGTATTATTCCTAACAACCCTATTTTACAGATAATGATTCAGACGAAGGCACAGAGAGAGGTTAAACAATTTGTCTAAGGCCAGCGATTTGTAGAATTATATTCCCACAGAGTAACGGGGGAGAATAGCAGCATATTTAACACCAGCATTGATAGAATTTATAAGTGCATGGACTCTGGGGAAGCTTTAAGGATTCTTTTTTTTTTTTTAGAGACGGAGTTTCACTCTTGTTACCCAGGCTGGAGTGCAATGGCGCGATCTCGGCTCACGGCAACCTCCGCCTCCTGGGTTCAGGCAATTCTCCTGCCTCAGCCTCCCGAGTAGCTGGGATTACAGGCACGTGCCACCATGCCCAGCTAATTTTTTGTATCTTTAGTAGAGACGGGGTTTCACCATGTTGACCAGGATGGTCTCGATCTCATGACCTCGTGATCCACCCGCCTCGGCCTCCCAAAGTGCTGGGATTACAGGCTTGAGCCACCGCACCCGGCCACTTTAAGGATTCTTAAAAGTGAATCATTTGTTCATGTGACAAATAAAAACACTGAGATTCAGGGGGTGTAAGTAACTCATTTAAGACCAAAAAACGATTCGAATTAGACTCAGTCCCAATTCTCAGGAATTCTTAGCACTCCAAAGGGCGTGTTACCAGTGACATAGTAGGATTTGGTGCTGAATCCTGCTTTGGGTTCGGACTGGCTTTATAATCAGCCCAACAGACCAGATGCTTGACTGGGTCCCTCTGACTGGTGAGCAAACCATTTCCTTTTGTTTACTCCATTGAGACTGAGGACAATTTTAATGTGGTCCACTCCCAGGAAATATGACATCTAATTACCATCTTCACATAATGATGTGGCTGGGGGCCCTCTCTGTGTCACACAGGCCTGTTGTGATCCCACTCAGTCTGCTGTCCAGCCTCATCTCCCTTGACTCTGAACCACATGCCCGAAACCCAGTGACATAGAACCCCATGCCATGCCCAAGCCCACCAAGTCAGCATGACCCAGGGCCTTTGCACATGCTGTGGTGTGTTCCCTGGTCCCTGCTTTCCCCTGCCCTGCCAGTGAAACCCTACTTCTTCAAGATTCATTGTTTAAAAACCAACCCATCTTCTACACCCATGTTCATAGCAGCACAAGAGGTGTCCATCAACAGATAAATGAGTATGTACAATGTGGTCTATCCATGTGATGGAACATTATTCAGCTGTAGAAAGGACGGAAATGCTGATGGCTGCTACAGCACAAATGAACCCTGAAGACATGATGTTAAATGAAATAAGTCACTCCCAACAGGACAAATCCTGTGTGATTCCACTGATAGGAAGTCCCTAGAGGAGTCAGATTCATAAAGGCAGAAAGCAGAATGATGGTCGCCAGGGCCTGCGGGGAGGGTTAATGTTGTTTAATGGGTATAGAATTGCAGCTTTGCAAGATGAAAAAGTTCTGGAGATTGACTGCATCACAATGTGGATATACTTAATGGTACTGGAATGTGCACTTAAAATGGTACATTTTGGAGGGTCGGGGGCAGCTGAGTCTCCCATGGACACTGCCTGCTCCTAAAAAAAAGAAAAAAAAAGTACATTTTGTTAAGTGTATTTTACCATCATTTTAAAAAAACTATTTTTAAAAACCCTATCCTTAACGAAGGCTTTCTTGAGTCCCCACGAGGAGTGAGCTATGCTACGCTTTGGTGTCTGACTACAGCCCACTGGGCACACTCCCCATGGATACCAGGTAACTACTGACTGGTGCTTCCTTCTGCAAACGTGGGCCCCTTGAGGGAGCATGGGCTGACTCTGACTAGTCTCTCTAGCCACACACCCTGGCATGGCTCCTGGTTTATGAGGGAGCATGGGCTGACTCTGACTAGTCTCTCTAGCCACACACCCTGGCATGGCTCCTGGTTTATCTTTGCTTACCAATGAGGACTCTAAGTAGGATGTTACCATGAGACAACCAGCCTTCCCTGGCTCTTTGATATAATCACAGATCCATGAAGACACCACCTGATGCCTCTACAACTGACAGGTCATTTATAAAGAATTGGCTTGATAGATTAAATACTTTCCCCTTGAAAAATGGAGACAAATACGAAAACATTGAGCATCCTGAAGCAATCGCATGATTTACGGGGACATTAACGAGAGTTGCGCCCTGCCCAGCTCAACTTTGCATTGTCGGCATCTAATTCCCTCCATAGCCTTTCTCCCCTTATCGGGATCTGCAACCCAGAATCCTATAAATATTGCAGTGGCATATGACCGGGGGTGTCAGAGATGTCACCTGTGATGATAAAAGTGTCTAAGAGGCTTCAGGATGTGTCACGGTGAAGGATGGACTGGAGACAGGATGGCAAGTGGTAATTACAGGGCTGAGGTTTGGGATGCAGGAGCAGAGGCAGCCTTGGAGGGCAGGAAGAAGGAAGAGGCTGAAGAGCTACTGAAGCCAGGCCTCGTCCCTGGGCCTTCCTCCTCCTCTGGAGCATCTGGCAGCTGTTGACTGTTCTCAGTGCTTGAGCTTTGGACCTGGTATTGAAGATGTCATTGACTCTCAACCCAAGCCCTTGTACATGTCCCTAGTTCCCTAACCCCATGCCACATCCCTCCCACCTCCATGGCTGACTCTCTGGCCTTGGCTTGACATAGTAAGAGGGGCAAGTGCTCCAAAGAAGGGTGAGTAGTAATACAGAAATGTGTGAGAAGGGGGCTAATCAGTGCAACGTGGGCAAAGGGTTTGGAGTTCAATGCAAATGAGAATCTCAGAACCAAGGTTACACAGAAGGTCTGGTAGGATTCATAGGGAACCTCTTGGGGGAATGAGACTTTGAAAAGGTCTAGGCCTGGGCGCAGTGGCTCATACCTGTAATCCCAGCACTTTGGGAGGCCAAGACAGCAGGATCATTTGAGGCCAGGAGTTCGAGACCAGCCTGGGCAATGGAGCAAGATCTCATCTCTACAAAAAATGAACAACTTCGTTTGGCATGGTGGTACACACCTGTATTCCCAACTACTCAGGAGGCTGAGGCAGGAGGATTATTTGAGCCCATGAGGCTGAGGCTGCAGTGAGCCGTATTGGCATATTGGTGCCACTGTACCCCAGCCTGGTGACAAGGTGGTAACAATAGTAACTTACGTTGACTGAACACTTGTTTGCTGTCAAGCACTGTACCAAGCACTTTTAAATGGACTATCTCATTTAATCCTCCAATGACTCTACACAGTATATTCCAAAATCTCTGCTTTCCCATTAGGGACATTAACCCATGGAGAGGCCAGGTGAGCTGCTCAAGGACCTGCGTGATGTCAAGATAAGGACAAATGTGGAAAGGCTACATGGCAGCCATCATAAATCAAGATGAAGAGCCTCAGTCCTGTGCTAGGTCACCGTAAAAACATGGGAGTGGTCACCAGACATGGGCCAGTGACTGTAGCCATCGCCAGGAGGCAGATGGTCAGAAGTCAGAACTAAAATATCACTTAGGTATCAAGCACGCATGATACCTTGGTAAAGGGGGCGGGAGAGGAAGTGGGAGCAAGGTGGGCAATGAATCCTGCCAGACCTTTTGTGTCACCTTGGTTCTGAGATTCTCCCTGGCATATTGCTCTGGTCCCTTCCCCAAGATGACAGCTTCTGGCAGTGAGGCCGAACACACTGCACGCAGGATGCCCAAGGGACGCTAAGCAGCTGCTGCCGCCAGGGAAGGTTGACTCCTACCCCACGTCCATTCCCACACACTCCAGAGAAATGTGGGCCATGCAGAGACAGCGTCCTGATCTGGTAGCTCAGGCATCTGTGTCCTTTCAGAGAGCAAGAAGGCAGTGCCTTGGCAAGAATCCTCCACCTGCCTCTTCTCCAGGGTCTGTGATGAAATCTACCTGAAATTTATAGGCTTAGTTTTTAATGATCACTCATTAAACTTGCAATGAAAAAGATCAAGTGTGTTGGAAAGTAGATACTGGGGAAAATATACTCACTTCAATTATTTTAACCCTGGAGATACGCTATGTGGGTGAAACCCACACTGCAGGAGCGTTCAGCAGATTTTCTGTGGGTCCCATTTCAGGTCAGGCACTGTGCTGGGCACTGGGGCTTTCATGTCAGAGAAGACATGGGCTTGGCACTCAGGTTCAGGAGGGAAGCAAACAGGTCAATCAGTCTGCAACAAGACTGCAGATTGCATGGTGGGAATGCACCTGGAGCTCTAAAGGAGCACAGCCCCGTGTCGCTGTCTGGCTTCTTAAGAAACCAATCTTAAGACTGAAATTAGGCCAGACACAATGGCTCACATCCGTAATTCCAGTACATTGGGAGGCCAAGGCAGACAGATTACCTAAGATCAGAAGTTCGAGATGAACCTGGCCAAGATGGTGAAACCTCTTATCTACCAAAAATACAAAAATTAGCCAGGAGTGGTAGCACATGCCTGTACCCTCAGCTACTCGGGAGGCTGAGGCACAAGAATCACTTGAACCCGGGAGGTGGAGGTTGCAGTGAGCTGAGATAGCACCACTGCATTCCAGCCTGGGCGATAGAGCGAGACTCTCATTTCAAAAACAAAACAAAAAGACTGGAATTGAAATGCAAGAAGCTGCCCAGGAGGCTCCAGGTATGCTGCAAGAGGGTGGAGAACTGAGACAGGAAAAGGAATTCATCAGCCAGCTCCCCATGACATGGAGCATTGTCCTGCTGGGAACTCCAGGAGCCAGTGTAGAATACCTACCTCTGAGTTATCCCACTGAAGGACCAGGGAGCAGAGGTGTTTATGTGCCAGCTGAATCTGCTCCCAAAGGCCTTTAATTCCCTGGTATTTCTGACCTGCTATACGGGTGGTAAGCAGAATCCCTCATTCCAAAAAAACCCCATGCAGGCCCTGGGAGGCTGGCTGGCGAGCACTGGAGTGCTAAAGGTGGTGGGTACATGGGGCGCTTATGGGGTCTGGCCAAGGTCCACACACCTCCCAGGGTTTATTTTTAGGGGGTTTGTCTTCCTCTCAAACAACACAATAAACCTGACTAAGGACAAAGGCCACTCCTACACCTCTCAGCATCCAGTCACACAACATTGCCACACACTTGACCGATACCCTAAGCCGAGATCAGGAAGTTTACATGGATAATCATTTCCCCAACAATTCTAATGGTGTGTGATCAAATCAGTTTTACAGAGACGAAAACAGACCCAGAGGATCACATGCAGTAGCATGTGAGCTGTCGGTCTCACGCGCAGCACGTCCACAGGGCATTCTATTCATGTGGATTTCTATCTGAATAGAGCCTCCTAGGGTTGTGCAGTGCGCAGCCTGTGCAACCATCCACAGGGGCCCCATGTGAGAAAGGTTATGCCACTTACCAAACATCCCACTACTAAGAAGGGCAGAGTGGAACCCTCACCTGTCTGCCCAAAGCCGGTCTTGTAGTCCTCAGCCTCTTTGCAACCACAGCCTGGGGAAAGTGCTTCATAAATGCTTAAAGATGGCACAGTGCTCCAAAAGAAAGCCCATCTTAACGATTTCAATCCCCAGGGATGCAGCTGAGTCACTGCGCTTCATGGCTTAAAGGATCTGCTCATGTAACCAAGAAGAAACCAAACCCAGCCAGGGGGTGGCATGAGTCATGCCAGGCAGAGGGAAAGAAACAAGCAAGAATCGGAGACGGGTAAGTGGGCCCAAGAACAAAGCAGAGCTCTTTAGAAGACGACAAAAAAGCCAAAGCCATTGGAAAGCAAAGGAATACAGAGAGAATGAGGGGGGCTTAGAAAAAGAAACCCCGCAGCATGGCCGGGAACTCAGGGGCCATTGGACTCTGGTTCCCCGTAAATAAATCTTCCTTGAGGCCATCGCTAGAAGTGGAGGTCCTGGTCAGAGGTGTGCAGGGTGATCCTGGGGACCTGGCCACAATTCCACGTTAATGTCTCTGTGGCAAGAACTTTAAGCAGAATCTAGCCCAATCCGGATGGAGGATCTGGAAGGCTGAAGGGCAAGTGCCCAGAGCTGTCGGCCACACAGGAACACTGTTGCCAAGGACAGAGGCTTGTCTGAACCCAAACCAACTCTCCCTCCTGCTCCCGTGGGGAAGACCCCTGCTCTTGGCTTCTGGGGCCCCCACTCTGGAGTTTCCTCCCAATTCAGTGAGGGCCCCTGAGACTCTGTACCCCAGCCCCTGCTTACCTCAATGGCTGGGCTCCCCTTCTCTTTCCTACTTCATCAGGGTCTTCTCCATCAGCACACAGGCCCTGCACCTGCAATCCATTCCTACGCTCTGTCTCCATCTCTCACCTCCTCCAAACAAGCTCTGAGACCCAGGACCCCAGCATTCTTATCAATGCTACACTGGAGCTCCATGTGGTCAAGTCAGTGGTCCCTGCTGGGTGCTAGTCTTACCTTCTCAGCCCCCTTCCCCACGGTGGACCACTCCTCCCTGCTGAAACATTTCTCCCCTGGCTTCTAGGACCCCTCCCTTTTCTGGGGCTCCCTCCTGGTCCTTTGAGTGTGCGTGCTCAGCTCCCTGCGCTGGCTCCCATGGCCCCTTTTTCTGACTCCAACTGATGGCACGTGTGGGCTCTGCTTCGGGTCACACCTTCCTTTCCTCTCCACGAATTTCTCCCAGATAATCTCATCCTGTCTCCAGCTCCAAATGCTATTGATTGGACTCTGTCATCCCTTTCTCCTGCCTCCGTCTCCTCCTGGAATTTCAGGGTCCTGGATTCAAGTGCACATTGACATGGCCTAAGAAGGTTCTCAGACTGAACAGGCTCAAAAATAACTCTTTTTTTCCCTCCCTTACCCACAGCCTGCGCCTTCCTCTGTCTTGGTGACCTTCACTACCAACCACCAGCTTCTTCTTCTTCTTTTTTTTTTTTTTGAGACGGAGTTTTGCTCTTGTTACCCAGGCTGGAGTGCAATGGCATGATCTCAGCTCACCACAACCTCCGCCTCCTGGGTTCAGGCAATTCTCCTGCCTTAGCCTCCTGAGTAGCTGGGATTACAGGCACGTGCCACCATGCCCAGCTAATTTTTTGTATTTTTAGTAGAGACGGGGTTTCACCATGTTGACCGGGATGGTCTCGATCTCTTGACCTCCTGATCCACCCGCCTCGGCCTCCCAAAATGCTGGGATTACAGGCTTGAGCCACCGCGCCCGGCAGCTTCTTAAACCAAGCATCTCGGAAGCCTCAGAGAATCCCCTGTTCGCCTCCCTCCCTACTTGCAGCTCATTACTGGGTCCTGTTATGTCCCCAGCTACCACTGTGGGCCAAACCATCCTATTCTCTGGAGATCTCCAGACTAACGTGTTCCCAACTCGACTCCTGGTCCTCCCCAGTGTACTCTCAATAGAGAAATTGGAGGAACGTAAAAACAAATCAAATGTTACTTTTAGCACAGAACCCAAGGCTTGCCACTACATTTAGAATAAAACCGAACCCTCTAGATCCTCTATGTCTGTCTACCTCACAGCTCTGATCTGCCCCACGCTGCCCTTGTTCACGTCTCTCCAGCCATGTGCTGTTTTTAATGCCTTAACTCCACCGAGTTTATTCCTCTCTGTGGGTCTTGGCACTCCCCAGGACCTGTGCTCACAATTTACCCCCTCCCCAGGACCTCTGCTCACAATTTACCCCCTCCCCAGGACCTCTGCTCACAATTTACCCCCTCCCCAGGACCTCTGCTCACAATTTACCCCCTCCCCAGGACCTCTGCTCACAATTTACCCCCTCCCCAGGACCTCTGCTCACAATTTACCCCCTCCCCAGGACCTCTGCTCACAATTTACCCCCTCCCCAGGACCTCTGCTCACAATTTACCCCCTCCCCAGGACCTCTGCTCACAATTTACCCCCTCCCCAGGACCTCTGCTCACAATTTACCCCCTCCCCAGGACCTCTGCTCACAATTTACCCCCTCCCCAGGACCTCTGCTCACAATTTACCCCCTCCCCAGGACCTCTGCTCACAATTTACCCCCTCCCCAGGACCTCTGCTCACAATTTACCCCCTCCCCAGGACCTGTGCTCACAATTTACCCCCTCCCCAGGACCTCTGCTCACAATTTACCCCCTCCCCAGGACCTCTGCTCACAATTTACCCCCTCCCCAGGACCTGTGCTCACAATTTACCCCCTCCCCAGGACCTCTGCTCACAATTTACCCCCTCCCCAGGACCTCTGCTCACAATTTACCCCCTCCCCAGGACCTCTGCTCACAATTTACCCCCTCCCCAGGACCTGTGCTCACAATTTACCCCCTCCCCAGGACCTGTGCTCACAATTTACCCCCTCCCCAGGACCTGTGCTCACAATTTACCCCCTCCCCAGGACCTGTGTTCACAATTTACCCCCTCCCCAGGACCTCTGCTCACAATTTACCCCCTCCCCAGGACCTCTGCTCACAATTTACCCCCTCCCCAGGACCTCTGCTCACAATTTACCCCCACCATCTCATTTTAAATGTCATCTTCCCAACCTACACTCTCTCTTATCTTCCCTTATTTGAATTCTCTACAGAGCCCTTAATACTATTTCCTTTGCTTTCCTGCTCATTGCTAGTTTATTATCTTTGCTTGGAGCAGCGACTGCAGTAGCCACCGAGAAGCATTTGAGTGAATTAGGAATAAATGAATGTTTGAATTGACCCAAACAAAGGGCCCTGAAGTATCGTTCAGACATGGGTATCCCCAAGAGTCTTCTGAGAAGTAAACCACCCACAAGAACATGAGAGGATGATTCTTCTATCCTCAGAGACAAATGATAAAATGAAAGTCATGCCCAGAAGTCCAGTCAAGGGCAGTTCTTGCTACTTCTAAAACTTCCAGTTCCTCCTCTACATCAACCTCATCGTTTCCATGAGAACATTTTATGCCAGTGACAACAGCAATGACAGAGAAAAATGGTCCCAATTTACAATCCTCAGCCTCAAACTTCAAAGAAATGTTTATTTCCACCTTGACTCTTGACTCTTGTCACTGGCCACTAAAGGCCATGCAATGAGCAATAGCTCTGCAGTCGTGCCTCTGTCAGCTGCCTACGTCTTCCTTCGCCTGGAATTTGAATTTTGATCAGTCACTTTGCTATAATTATGTGTCAAAATTATTTTTTCTTTTCTTTTTCTTTTTTGAGACTGAGTCTTGCTCTGTTCCCCAGGCTGGAGTGCAATGGTATAATCGCTGCTCACTGCAACCTCCACCTCCCAGGTTCAAGCAAGTTCTCCTGCCTCAGCCTCCTAAGTAGTAGCTGGGACTACAGGTGAGCACTATCACGCCTGGCTAATTTTGTATTTTTAGTAGACACGTGGTTTCACCATGTTGGTCAGGCTGGTCTCTAACTCCTGACCTCGTGATCTGACCGCCTTAGCCTCCCAAAATGCTGAGATTACAGGCATAAACCACCATGCCTGGCATAGGATTATATTTTCATAAGAAAACCAATTTGAAGTCAAAAGTGTAGGCCCTAATGCATACAGTCTTAAAAAAATGTTCCAATGCCATAATGGTTTGTGCACCTCTGTCAGATAATAATCGAGAAGATAAAGTGGCCCAGAGCTGTGCCAAGACAAAACTTGGTGCTGTTGCTGAAATGAGCAAACTCTGCGTGTGTGTAAAGAGCACAGTCTAATAAGGAAGGAAGGACTGGCCTAATGAAGGGGAAATACACAGAGCTTTCTCTGCTAGAGATAGATTTTGCCCTTCAGTGTCAGCTGACGCTCTCAGACCCCATGTAACCTACAGCTATAGCCCATGGACCTTCTCCCTAAAATTCTGAATTTAAAATTGTAATGCATTTTATAATATGTGTTGGCTTAAAGCCTGATGAAGATAGCATGATCTATGTTATGCTAAATACTAAGAACCAGCTTCTCCCCATCATTGTACTTTACATGAGGATTCTGTGACATAAGATTGTGCATTTCAATGCAGCCACCAGCCCATTGCTTTCTGAGTGAAATCTAACCTGAGGGTAGGGCCGCCCTGAATCGCTGAAAGTTCAGGTACTGTGCCAACAACAAGAGCCCTATTTAGAAGGTTCTTAGGCTGGGCGTGGTGGCTCACATCTGTAATCCCAGCACTTTGGGAGCCCAAGGCAGGCGGATCACTTAATGTCAGGAGTTCGGGATCAGCCTGGCCAACTTGGCAAAACCCCATCTCTACCAAAAATACAAAAATTAGCCAGGCATGTTGGCGCACACTACTCAAGGGGCTGAGGCGTGAGGACTGCTAAACCGGGAGGTGGAGGTTGCAGCGAGCTGAGACCATGACACTGCATGTCAGCTTTGATGATGGAATGGGACTCTGTCTCAAAAAAAAAAAAAAAAAAAAAAGGCTCTGAACTCTTTTGTGTTGTGCTTTATCTTATCTCCCGTCTGATCTGGCATCTCCCATCCTTCTTGGCTGCCCTTGTGAGGTCCTCCTCGCTTCTTGACAAGTGACACTGGCCTGCACCCTTCCCACCTTTCCAGACCATCCCACCACCCCCTACTCTTCCTTCCCAGCCCACACGGAAGCTGTACTAGGCCACAGACTGATTTGTGTCTTCTTAACTTCCTTACATCACGCTCTCTCTTCTTGAAGAGTGTTTCTTTTCCCGCCTCACCTTCCCAGTCGGTCAGTGCCCTTCCACTTATCCTGCAAAGCATGGCTTCACCACCTCTGGCAAGTCTTCCACAACCCGGGACTTTGCTCCAGGCCCCTTCTCTGCAGCCATCACACCCGGTGCATGCTCTATGTTCCCGATAGATTATTGACTAATCCACCTTCCCCAGCTGACTGTGACATCCTGGAGGGCAGGGGCAGGGTGCTTTCTGGCACACAGCAGTCATTCAACAAATGCCAGTTGAATGAATCCTGAACAAATGAATAAGACAGGGCCTGTTTTACAGCTATTGCCAGAAGCTATTTTATTTTTTAACAAAATGCCAGTTCCCACGATGTGGGCCACAGGAACCACAGGTAAGAAGTCAGTGTCCAAGCCTGGGCGCAGCATTAGAAGGGAGGTAGATCAGCTCTCAGAGGCCATCGTAGAGGCGGGCACAGGAATCAAAAGGAGAAACTGCCCTTAAGATGCTGATATGGTTTGGCTGTGTCCCCACCCAAATCTCATCTTGAATTGTAGCTCCCACAACTCCCACGCATTGTTGAAGGGACCCAGTAAGAGAAAATTGAATTATGGGTGTGGTTTGCCCCACACTGTGGTAGCAAATAAGTTTTATGAGTTCTGATGATTACATAAGGGTTTCCCCCTCTCACTTGGCT